ATTTTGGTTTCCAGATCTACAATCACTGGAGTCCATACTTCTCTTTTCGAAATAACTTTTATTCCCGGCGAGTTAAGTGCTATGATTAGGACTGATGACCTATTTTCTGACTAAATTCAATTTATTATGTTGAGACTAGTTGAGTCATCGCATTTGACCACTTTTACTCTCTATAAACTGCGAAGTTTCTTCATAACCCCTCTCTACCCCTTGACTGGATTATTGTTTATCTCTTCATCAGACTACTTAACAGCTGACCTCAGATCTACATAACTCCCCGAGAAGCCTGTAACCATTCTGAGATTCGATAAGGCGGCGTTGGTCTGTCAGTTTGTTAAAATTAATTGTAATTGAAACACACATTTTATTTTTCATGTTATTTTTATTAATAAATGAAAAATAAAAAAAAATAAAAAAAAAAGATAAAAATCCTTAGTAAGTAGACAGCGTATTTATTATAAGTTAATTACTAGCGGGTATTAATAATATTTAGTAACTAATATGCAATTAGCCACTTCTTACTAAGCATATTTATCTTTATTTCTATGTGCTAATTGTAGTGATAATTGTTGCGGTTATGAGGTTGATGTCCTTTTTTCAGATTGAGCTGCAACTTCAGCGACGACGCTTAGTGGGAACAGTGTGTAAAGAATTCGATCGACACTGATTTTGGGACGATTGGGAACGATTTTCTGGTTTATTTTTGATAGTTATAGTGTTTAGTACCCCATTTTTAGGAGTACCTTTTGTTAGGTTATTTGAAATTGTGGTAGCATTTGCGATATTACTACTAAATCCCATACGTCGTTTCTTGCGTTCAATATTAATGCGATGTCCATTTGGCAGATTGTTAGGATAGAAAAAAGGCTATAGAAAATTTTTTTTAATTCATTAAAAATGTGAAAAGCATTAAAGTAAATTTGGTTTATATAACAGCTATAGTTTTAGCTGGAACACATAGGCTTAATTTTTAAATAAAATTAAACGGATATAGTCTCATGCGATTAATGAGCACTGGAAGATATGATATTGCATTTAATAAATATTGAAGTTGCATTCAATATATGTAGAAATTTTAATGTCTTCGTTGAGTATACCTAAGATTATGTATAATATATATAAATATATATTATAAGATCTACTTACAGATATTTCTAAACATTTCTGCACAGATTCCGGATTTTCAAAGGTTAGGAAGCCATAATTGAGTAAATTTCTACCTTTTGAATCTATTTTAGAAGGTGGATTGCTAAGGATTCGTAGTTCTAAAATTTTACCAAACTTCTCGAAGAGTTTGCGCATTTCTACTTCAGTAGCCTGTAGTGGAATGTTGCCAAGAAATAATTGATGATTGTCGCCATAATAATCTGAAATTCGTTTACGACGATTACGCAAAGGATTTTCTGTGAATTTGACGGAATTAAGCAAAATTATAAAATATTAAAGATTTTAAGTGCATAAAATGAACATACATCTAAGTATTTTTTATTCAGCCGAGACTAACCTTGTTTATACGAAGTGGTGGTAACAATACTCGTAGTTTTTGGTTGTATCTTCTTCTGCTGCATACTATTAGTGCTCTTGTTAGCCAACTCACCGGGTCTATTAGAACTCGATTTATTATAACGAAACTGTAAATGTACTTCTGGTTGAAGTTTAATCGGTGCTGATACCTGACGCTGTGGCTTTTGCTGTGGTTGTCGTAAATTTAGTTTTTCTACTTTTGAAATATTAATAATTTTGCTTTCCTGCTGTACTTGATCAACTTTTTCTGCCAGTTTTTGTTTTAATTCATCTGTTTTCTTCAAAATAATTTCTTCATCCTTGTTACTTTCAACAACTGGTGTTTTCAAGTTCATCAAGTTGTTCAATTGATCCATTTTATCTTGTGTTACACTAGAAGTTTCTGCAGAAAATTCTTCTTCACAAGAACAATGATCAGTATCAGAGTTAGTTTCGTTCAAACCACTTGGCTCACTAAAACAACATATACTATCATCTGTCTCTGAAATAATATCAGAACAATAATTTGGTTGCTCAGGCAGTATAAAGCAAGATGAAGGCATAGCCATTTCTGCCATATATTCTTCTTGACATATCAAATTCTCGAACTGAGCTTGTGAGATTTCCGGTACTTCACTAGATTCAGTGAAATCGTATGGCACTGCTTGCTCAGTATTGTCAGCAGTTGATATTTGAACGTTATCATCATTTATTTGCATAATGCTTTCTCCCAAGTCATAAGCATTTTCCTGTGGATAATAACGCATTGATAGATTCTGCGTATAAATATTTTCAGTGTTGTTTTCTTCACAAGAATTATCATCATCAGATACATCGGAATCAGTTTCTGTCATTAGCTGGTCATTACAATTAACTCCATCCGGTATTTGCATAATGGGAACCATAACAGACTGCAAAACACCTTTACTGTTTATGAATCTGGCATATCCGTCATAGTTATCGAAAGTTAGTATATCGTTTAAAATACTGTACCGTGTCCCGGAGTGATGTTCAAGCACAAACGTTTGTGTGAAAGCCAATAGATTTTGTTCGCGTAACAGTTGACCTCCAACTACGACTATAATGCTATTATCTAATGCTGGATAGATTTGAAGTTGATTAATCTTCACCGCACTATTGTGATACTGTAATTGCTCTAAACGGCACTCAATCGTCTTCTGACCAACAGCGATTTCTAAACTGCCATGTCGTAAGATCGAGAAATTTGTGTAAAAGCGGTAGAGACATTCCGGACACTTGTTCATAATGTTGTAGTATTGCCAAACAAAGGAACGTCCAACTTTTGTTAGGAAATCATCTTCGGGACTTGTGTGGACAGATTCCATTGTAGAATCGCAACAACTACAACAATTATTCACACAAAGACTTTATGAGCTAAAATGAACTCATCAAATTACGAATATAAAGACCGATCAAAAATAAATAAGAAATGTTTTGGGGGAACATCAAAGAAAAAGAACTAGAAAATAAAAACTTCTCGCAAAAGTAACGAATAACTCAAACACGAAAAATATATGATATAAAAAAAAATATTTAAACATATTAACATAAAATTTTAAAAGAAGTTTAAAAAATATTTACTAAGAATATTTGATAATTTTTTGAATGTTTAGGGAAACACAAAGAATCGAGATTACGGCGAACATCCTCTCTCTTTTCTATTGTACTTCTTAGAGATTCGATTATTTTTCATCCTTACTTCTAATAACTCAATATTATAATGTTTTCTATATACTTACTTACTTACTTGGCCATAACAACACGTTACCGAGTCCTGCTCCAGCCTCGTACATTAAGTCCAATTAGTGCTCCCTCAACTTGATTACTTCACCGGAGACACGACCTACCCCTACCTTAATGTAAAAGTTGAGTTGACTATTGCTTCAAACACCTTTTTCGCTCGAGCGAAAATTAATGGTCCAACATGGAAAGTATTTTTGAGGCGCGATGGCTAAGGAA